TATATATATATATATATACACACACCACATCTTCTTTATCCATTCATCCATCGATAGACATTTGGGCTCTTTCCATAGTTTAGCTATTGTGGATAGTGCTGCTATAAGCATTGGGGTGCATGTGCCCCTTCGAAACAGCATATCTGTATCCCTTGGATAAATCCCCAAAACTTTGTCTTTTTTAAATTGGCTTTTTAAATATGATTTTTTTCTCCTCAAATTAGCACACATAGTTTAAGAAGTCAAATCACTTCAAAGCTTGTAAAGATATACAGCCGACCCTTGCCTGCCCCACCATGCCTCATTTCCATTTTCCCATTCCCAAAGGCAGTTGTTTCCAGCCCCTGAGCTGTATGTTACTTTTAAACTCTTTGTTTCTAGGTAATTTGCTTCCATAGGTGTTTCCGCTTTTTCAGTTTTAAATATTCTATTGTATCTCTGCTATGAAAGATGTGGTTTAACCACATTATACCCCCAGTCTTCCCTCAATTTTTCCCCCTCCGTATAGTTATATCACAATTTTTGGTTAGTATTCTGTGTTTACATTATTCTGACTACCCAAATATTAATATACCAGAGTCACAAAAGGTAGTATGGCTGTATTTTCTTTCTCAGATAATTTTTTTCATTGTTTCTAGGCCTTTTCAGTGGATAAGGCTAGGAAATGTGTATTTTCACTTTAAGAAAGCTTTTTGTTGAAGTATTTGCACATATACAGAAAGTGTTCCAAATAAAAATGTATAGTTTGATGATTTTTCACAAAGTGAACACATCCATGTAACCACTACTCAGATCAAGAACCATGTAACTTTTAAATTTCTCTTGAAAATACTAATTACCTCAGGTTTTTAGTTGCTTAATTTTGTACATGTGCATTACTACTTCACTCTAAACTCTTGACTTGAACTGAAAATACCCTCTTAATATATTCAAATATAGTAGGTATTCTTTTTCTTTTATTTCATGTTGTTATTCCATCTTCTGAGGCTTCTTTCTCGAAACCCTCTAGTATGACCTGATTTACTACACAGCTTCTATGTTTGGATATTTTTCTCTTTTCTTGTGTCTTATCTCCTCCTGATTCCTAGTTCCTCATC